AAAGAGTTGGAGCGATGCCAGCAGCAGGCAGACGAGGTGACGGCAATCATGCTCAACAACTTCGACAAGGTCCTGGAGCGCGATGGGAAGCTGTCCGAACTGGAGCAGCGTTCAGACCAACTCCTGGACATGGTGTGAGGCCTGGCGGAACAGGGCGGGGAGGGGAGAGGCTTGGTGAAGCCCTCAGAGGGAGCTCTTAGGCTGTGCTCAGGGTCTCCAGGCCCTAGTGGGAGCTGAGGCCTGCTTGACAACAGTGTGGAGTCTCATGAAGGACTAAGTCCTTGGTGTGAGACTTTCCTGTGAGTCGGGGACTGGCACTGTTAACTGGAGGTGAGCTAGTAGGGCCGAAAGGCAGGGGCTACACCCCTGTCAGAGACCAAGAGTCAGGGCAGGTGGGTCCCAGGGCAGGCTGTGGGGGGAAGGGGAGCAGATGGGAAGGGAAGGATGCAGAGGGAGACTGGACCTTGCTCAGTGGGGCTGGGAGGAGCTGGCTCCAAAGCCCTGAGGGAGCTACTGACTCTGACCCTATGTCCACAGAGCTCAGCCTTCAGCAAGACAACCAAGACCCTGGCTCAGAAGAAGCGCTGGGAGAACATCCGCTGCCGGGTCTACGTGGGGCTGGCGGTGGGCGGTGGCCTGGTTGTCATCCTGATTGTGCTGCTGGTCATCTTTTACTGGCAGAGTGGTGGGGGCAGTAGTGCCCCTCAGGCCCAGGACTCAGGCACTGCCTCAGGGCCTGGCGACTGACCCAACTGGGCTTGGAAAGAGGCCTGGAATGGCCACACCGGCTGGTTCTGGTCTCCAGAGAACCCCAGGCGTTTGCTCCCATCTGAGCCACTCCAGTGAATGCTGAAGGCAGCCCGGATGTGTGCACCTCTGCATCTCCCCACACACCACAGACTGGCCCTCAGGGCAGCCCACTGCACTGGCCGTGCCAGGCCTGCCCCACCCGGAGCTCAGTAAAAGCTGCTGTTTGGTTAAAAGCTGGTGTGTGTGTGTGCATGTGTGTGTGTGTGTGCGTGCGCGCGTGTCTGTCTGTCTGAAGGTCCCCAGCTTGGTAAATTCCATTCTGCTTGACTCCTGGGGTAGCTTACAAAGCAGATGGGGTTGTGGTTGAAGCGGCTCGATCCCACGTGGCCAACTGTGTGGTTTGAGTTCTGGACTCAGCAACTTGAAAAACATGCCAGGTGTGTGTGCGTGTGTGCCCAAAATCCTGAAGAAGTCGAGAAGGGATTGTGATGTGGCCACCCCTCCTGTGTTTGCGGAGGTGTGCTTCCGTACTTTCCCTCTTTGTCTCCAGTGAGTGTACCCACCCTATAGCAATAAATAAATAAATAAAATCTGAAAAAAAAAAAAAAAAAAAAAAGACAAGTTCCACCATCCAGACTCTATCCCGGCACCCCAGGAGGTGGCTCCATCCTCTTCTTCCCTGCTTCTTTTATGGTTTTTTTTTTTTTTTTTAGAGATTTTTACTACAGGGTGCATGCACTTGCCAGAGACACAGAGAGACAGAAAGCGAGAAATCGTCCCCCAGAGGGATGGCCATGGCCTTTTCCTCCATTCTCCTTTTGGAATCTTGGGTATGGATGTGCTGGTGTGATTTTCTTTTTTCTTTTTCTTTTTCTTTTCTTCCTTTTTTTTTTTTTTGTGTGTGTGTGTGTGTGAAGAGAGGTTTTTTTCTATAGGACATTTGTACTCACCAGAAAGACAGAGAGGAACAGAGAGAGAAAGCAAGAAAACCCCCTCCGGGGGGGATGGTCACACCTCAATCCCTTCTCCTTCATTCTCCTCTTGGGATCTTGGGCTCGCACATGCGCCCTGCATGAGTTTAAGCTTCCACCTGCCGGGTCTGGGACTCAAACCACGGTCAACTATGTGGGAGTCCAACATAACCAGGACATCATCTGCTGGTCCCAACACCCAGCATGAGTTTTAAGCCACCAGATCCACGACTTGAACCACAGTCGACTACACAGGAGTCCAGTGACATAACCATTACACCCTCTGCTGCACCCCCTTTTTTTCCCTTTAAGTTTATTTATTTATTTTGAAAGACAGAAATACAAGTGCCCTCAACGGAATCTTATACCATGATTCCTCCACCATCGTTCCTCACCAGCCAGGGTCATGGGCATGTGTGCACACGCCTGAATGTTCAGAACCGTGACCTTCCATATGGCTTCCAGCACTGCGGAGCCTTGCGCCCTGCAGCTCAGTCTCCTTTCCCTGCTGGATCCAACCCTGCACAGCAGACCTTTGCGGAGTACAGGAGCAAGGACATGCGTGCCCCATACCAGACCCTCAAGCAGGTCCTCACCTTCAGAGCCTGTTTCCCTGAGAATGAAATCTCTTTCTTTTTTTGGAGAGGTTTTTGCTATAGGGCGCGTGTGCTCACCAGAAAGACAGAGAAAGAGAGACAGAAAGCGAGAAATCATCCCCTGGGGAGGATGGCCACACCGCAATCCCTTCTCCTCCATTCTCCTCTTGGGATCCTGGGCACGCACACACATGCGTCCGGCGTGAGTTTAAGCCACCAGGTCTGGGACTCGAACCGCAGTTGGCTACATGGGAGTCTAGCGACATAGCCATTACGCCAACTGCTGGTCCTGAAAATAAAATCTCTTATTTTTTGAGAGATATTTTTGCTATAGGGTGTGTGTGCTCACCGGAGAGAGAGAGACAGGAAGTGAGAAAATGACCCCTCAGGGGCATGGCCACACCACAATCCCCCTTCTTCCATTCTCCTCTCAGAATTTTGGGCACACACCCACATGCACCCAGCATGAGTTTCAGGCCGCCGGGTCTGGGACTCAAACCGCTGTCAGCTATGTGGGACTTGTGACATAACCATTACGCCATCTGCTAGTCCCCATATCTCTTATTTTTTTGACATCTTGGGGATGCTCAGCCCAATGGGATTCCAGATGGGATGACAAAGAGGAGAGCCCTTCCAAGATTCTTTTTTCATGAGGCTTTTTTACCTTCAGATAGACATTCCCTCCATTCCCTCTGAACGTTTTCCACTTTCCAATTTCTCCACTCATTGTTCGTTCTTCCTTGAGCTTGTGGCTAAGGCAAGTAGTAAAACCAGGGCAGGCTTCTCAAGGAGTATAATGCAGGGTCACACATGGTGGCCTGGAGCCTGCCCTGTAGCAAAGAATCCTGACTTTTCAAAGCACCACAGAATCCTGAGGAGGAATGATGGCATTAGGTTTTTCAAGGGCCACCCGGGGTCAGGCAGGGGTGCCTTTGAGGCCACAGCAAAGGTCACTGGGCAAAGGCGTGGAAGAAGAAAAGAAGGCTCCACCAAGACTATGGAGCAGGGCAGCCTCTGCCTGGGCTACTTAGCTGTAGCTCAGACTCAGTGTGAGTGGTAAGGGGAGCTCAGGGTCCAGTATGCAAAATAAGCAGGTCTTTGCTGGCTAAAGAGAGAGCTAGGAAAGAAACAACAAGCCCTGAGAGTTGTCTGTCACTTTACCTGTTACAGAGCTTGTTGCTTTCCTTTTTTTTTATTTTAAAGAGTATTTAGAGGCCAGTAGGTGGTGCAGTAGTTGATGCTGGACTCCCACATGGCTGACCCTGGTTTGAGTCCTGGACCTAGTGGCTTGTTTTCTCACTTTTCCTTTCTCTCTCTCTCTGGTCAAATTAAAATAAGAATAACAATAACTAAAATAAAACAATTCTTTAAAAAGTTATTATTATTTTAAAATTTGCTATAGGGCACACATGCTCACCACAGAGAGAGAGGAAAAGCAAACCCACCAGGTGTGGGACTCAGACCACAGTGAACATGTGGAGTCCAGCACCTTAACCACCAAGCAACCTGCTGGCCTCCAGAACTTGTTACTTCCATGGGCTCATTAATCTTCCTCTCCTAGAAAAGATGGAGGAAAGCACTCCGCCCTGTAGATGGTCAGGGGTACTGCAGTAGTTACAGGCTATGTGAATTTGGGCAATTTTTTTTTTTTGAGAGGTTTTTGCTATAGGGCGTGTGCGCTAGCCAGACAGATAGAGAGAGACAGAGAGACAGAAAGCGAGAAATCACCCCCTGGGGGATGGTCACGCTGCAATCCCTTCTCCTCCATTCTCCTCTCGGGATCTTGGGCACGCATGCACATGCGCCTGGCGTGAGTTTTAAGCCACTGGGTCCAGGACGTGAACCGCGGTCGACTACGTGGGAGTCCAGTGACATAGTCATTACGCTAACTGCTGGTTCCCTTGGGCAAACCACTTCTGACACTCAGGTGTTACCTATACTAAAAGCAGAATGGTGCCTAGCTCCAGAGGGCTATTTTGAGAATTATTGATATTGTGTGTAAAGTATCCATCAATGTAACAGTTTCAGATGTCAAATAGTAGCTACCATTCAGATCACCAAGTTCAGTGGTTCTCAATACTGCCTCACAATAGAATAGTTCAGTGGTTCTCAATACTGCCTCCCAATAGAATAGTCCGTAGACTTTACAAAAACTTACCAGAGGGAGTGTGTGCATGTTCAAAAGAGAGAATGTGAGAAAGTACCCCTCATGGGGAATGGTCACACCAAAATCCCTTCCCCATTTAACATTCCTCTCAGATTTTGGGCACACAGATTTCTCAAGGGGCAGCTCAGGACTCCTGCAGTCTGCCATGTGGGCTCCAGCTCATGTAACCACTAGTCTGCTATCTGCAGACTTTATTTAAAAGGAAAGTTAAGGATCTTCCCTTTTAAAAGATTACTTATTTATTCTTTGAGTGAGACAGAGAGCTACCAGCCCCAACAGGATCTTTTTTTTTCTTTTTTTGGAGAGGTTTTTGCTATAGGGCGCTCGCCAGACAGAGACAGAGAGACAGGAAGCGAGAAATCACCCCCCCCACAGGAAGCGAGAAATCCCCCCCCCCCGGGGGGGGGGATGGCCACACCGCAATCCCTTCTCTTCCATTCTCCTCTCAGGATCTTGGGCATGCACACACAATGCGCCCAGTGTGAGTTTAAGCCACCAGGTCTGGGACGCGAACCGCGGTCGACTACATGGGAGTCCAGCGACATAGCCATTACGCTAACTGCTGGTCCCCAACAGGATCATTTAAAAAAAAAAAAACATCATTGATGGGACCAACAGATGGTGTAATGATTAGGTTGCTGGACTCCCACATAGTAAATTAAAACTCACGCCTGGCTCTTGTTTGTGTGTGTCCAAGATCCCTAGAGGAGAATGGAGAAGGGATTATGGCATGGCCATCCCCCCTAGGGGGGGTGATTTCTCGCTTTCTGTCTCTCTGTCTCTCTGACTCTCCAGCAAATGCACATGCCCTATAGCAAAAATCTCTTAAAAATCATTAACAAGATTTACTTATAATTTCTACTATAGAGCGTGTGTTCTTGACAGAGACAGAGAGAGGGAAAGTGAGAAATCACCCCTGGGGGGATAACCACACTGCAACTCCTTTTCCTCCATTCTCTTGTCAGGACTTTGGGTGCCCATACATGAAACCAGCATGATTTTCAAGTAGCTGTGTCTGGGACTCGAACCATGGTCCACCATGTGGTAGTCCAGTGCCTTAATCACCATACCACCTGCTGGCCCCCAAATGGTCTTAACTCCATGATCCACCCCTAGCTTCCATCAGCCCCAGACCACAGCCATGCACATGCTTTGTTGTACCCAGGGAGGTCTTGTGACATGAACGGAATCTTCTCATGTGAGTCAGTGTGGCAGAGGGTTACGTTTGTAGCACTCTTCCACCGCTGGCCCCCAGATGCAGAATTTATACAGATGACACAGTGTCAAGGTTCCACTCAAATTCAGTTAGATCAGAATCCTCGAAGGTATCAGACAATGGTATTATTTTATAAAGATCCCCTCCACACCCTATGGGGCTTATGTGTAGTCCCGATGCAAACCATTTACTTATTTCAAGCCCCTCGTTTTGTAGACATTAGGAATAAGGTTGAGCATTGGGCTGAAGGCCACACAAATAATTGTCCTAGGAACAGGTGAGGTCCCAAGTTCCCCTGAAGCCCTTTCCTCTCTCAGTTGGGGAGGTTCGTCCCACTCTTTAATTATTATGCCCAACTCATAAGAAATGCACAGGATTTCCCCGCCTCGGGTGGGGGAGAAATCAAGCATAAACTCCTGAATCAAATATTGCGCGGCAGGTCTGAGCATCTCCAAGGCTGAGACACTCTGAGCCTCAGGACAGACGAAGAACCTTTCAGCCCGGGCATTTAGCTTTTCACATCTCTGCGGACTCGACCACGCCAGAAATTCGCGGGAGTTTACCCTGGGAATTTACCCCGGTCGCGACGTCAAAACAAACGTTTTTCAGGGCAGC